TGTGTAGCAAGGAGGACCACAGCTGAACAAGATCAGCCTGATGTTCATCTCTTTGAATGGTGCTCTGGAAAAGCACCGGGGAGCTGGCAATGTGACTAACCCTTCAGAATGATCTTTCCCCTTTTCTGGGAAAATCTGCAGGAACCAATATAGAAAGAGGACACAAGCCAATGGGCTTCTAGGAAGTGAATATATAATTTTGTAATTTGGTGATTTGCATACATCCACTAGTTTAAAAATTAATTGATCTTTTCTCTGTTGCTTTGTTCTGTTTTTTTATTCTCTCCTTGACTTTCACTTTTCATCCAAAGTCCTCCAGGCTTCTGACCTGACTCTCTCACGTAATGCAATGCTGTCAGCCCAAGCCCAGAGAGTTGGTTTATCTGTCAGCTTTTGTAAATCCTTTGGCCTGACTCTTGCAAGTCAACTGGTGCAATGTGATGGGGGAGTGTTGCTCTATAAAGCTCTTTAAGTCTTCACAGCCTATGCAATTTAGGAAGATCCTGGACCAGGGTACCAGGACTTTGATTACAGCAACCACACAAAATAATCAAGAGGTCCATTTGAGTGGGCAGAGAATGGCCAGGCAGCAATGATACTTGGCTTTGTTTCTTTCTTTGCTGGGAGAACCCCAACTGTAGATAAAGCGTGACAAGACCTAGCCAGGGAAAAGAACATTTCTCCTGTGATACACACACTAGCACAACCCTGCGGGACATGGTGCCCAGCAATAAAAGGTTAGAGCAGCCTCAAACTACTCCAAGTTGTGCCAAGAACCCAGTGGTCTCCAGAGCAGAGGCAGACCTGAGATCATAGGCTGTTTGCCCTCCCAAGTGCTACGTTCAGATGGACACAACTAACCAGTCACCGTTCTTCTGTGTCTCAGCCCAGCTTAAGGTCTTGAGACTTGTTTGTGTGCATCCCTTTGGCAGGCACTGGAATTTGCTCTACTCAAACTCGCCACTTCTCTACAGTTACAGTGAGAAAACAGTCCAACTCGTAAGACCTCTCTGAGCAAAATGGTCTGGAAAAGGGTCGAGAAATTCTTCCTGTCAACAAGAGCCTGGGGCTTTTTAATTTACTAAGGCTGTTGAGTCACTTCTGTATGTGTGTGGCTCAGTGATTTTCTGGGTTTATGCTGAAAATTTTCAGAATATCTGAGGCAGATCACACTTCTCCCATCTAGCTTCCAGGTGGTCTGTTTGAGAGTACAGATTATATCATGTTCAGATTTCCATTGACACTAGCATGTGTAGAATTAACTTCAAATAAGGACAAAATTATAAAATTACAAAATCCAGAAAAGACTTAATTTCTGGAACAGCTCCAAGTCCATTCTGGGCTCTTCCCTGATGAAGAAAATGCATTGTCCAAGGTCTAGCTGAAGTGTATAGAAAAGGATGGAGGAGGTGTGGTTACAGGCAAACAGTTTGTTTCCCAGAATTTATAAGACCAGGAGGAACATGCTTCTGGGAAGCCTGTAAAAAATAATAACAAAAGGCCAGAGGCCAATTTAGGTGATATCTGTAACAAATCAAGCAAAAGCCTTTTCCGGAGAAGAAAGAATTTGAGAACCCAGCTGTTCTTTTTGCTCCTGAAGACCAGGGGTAACATCTACAGGAAGGATCCCCCATTTTTGTGGACAGCTGAAAACAATGAAATCCACTCCATGAAGCTGATTACAGGATGGTGGCAGGTAGTGAACAAGAACACTCTAAAATTATGTTTTCTGATAGCTGGTATTGGAAGGGCTGGTAACATCACATGGGTGCTGGGGTGCTGAAATCTCCTTAGCACTTGGTGAAGGAGGACTGCAAGCAGGCACACAGTACCGGAAGACTCCCCAAGGCCCTGCTGACTCTAATCAAAACAGCAAATTGGGAACAGTGCATGAACACACATGTCGTTCCTGGTTCAACATGCCCACACGGCTCTTGTTTTATCTCCGAGGCATTTGAAGAGGTTGTGTGCCTTCAGAAGGGCCTATCAATCTTCTCCATGCTCATGCCTCAGAGTCCGGAGGACCATGCTGGTTCCCACGTGAGTTCAGAAATGCAGGCCAAAGCCTGCATCTTTGAGTCCTCTAATTTCTCCTCCAAATCTGTACCATTTTATCTTTCACATGCCACAGCAGCAGGTCTCCTGTCCTGGTGTAAGGCGGAAGCTGTGAAACATTTCAGCATTTTGCTAGTTTGCAGGTAGGTATGTGAAGTCCATTTATCCATCATTAGCCTTACCCAAGAATTGTACATGTTATTGGGAAAGCCATTTTATGGGAAATACTATGTTCAGTTCAAATACTTCTGCATTCTTCAATAACGATTGCCTTTTGGAGTCCAGAAACTCCAAAATTATACCACTTCAAAAGCCAGGATTTCTTATCTTCAGTCTATGATTTAATGATAAAAACACCCAAGGAGAATGAGCATCCAGATATCTCCTCAAGTACTAAAATCAGAAATTACTGTTCTGTGTGGAAGTGACTTAGGTCCCCTGGGATCCTTTTAACTGTCTTTTCTGGCAGATGAATAGTGACAGCGCAGACCTTCAAAGCACCTCCTTTTGGTTAACACTTTGCTGCCCTCCCATATACACCCACTCAATTCCCACCTGTTTTTAGCAATTCTTATCTTGGGACTCATAAGAAAAGGAAATAATTTTACCATCTGCAAGTAAGGAATTAAGGCTTTCAAATGATATGAAATAATTAGGTCTGTTTCATATGGCACACAAAATCTTAATGGAATCCATCACTGAGCTTCCCCTCTGTTCATCGGCTATCACAGCAGCCTGGTTTGAAGGTAGACTTCGCAAGGCTGGAATCACTTTGGTTAAAACAGTGTATCTGCTGAAGACACTTGATAACCAGCACGTATATCCTCCATTAGGAAAAACAGACTCTTACCATTATAGCTGCATATGGCAGGGATTCAGGTAAGTCTTGCTGTAATTAGAAATTGGTCCAATTTGAAAAGTCTTATTCTGGATTCAAGTTCTTCCCAAAAGAAATAGCCTTGAAATCGTGGCTTTTGGCACCACCACGTTGCTTATAGATAGTGATATTGATTCATACACTCCTTCAGGCTTCAAGGGTTGACCCCTTCCCAGCATGGAAAGACTGGGACTGCTGGGGCTTCCCTGGAGCAACAGTTACACCAGAATAGCTGCTGTGAATTTGATTCATCATATGGGCCTTCCCCCATGTTTCCTATGGGGAACACTAGCCAGATGAACTTACAGGATCACCAAGAAGCCAATGGTAGACACAACTACCCTAAAGATCTGTGATGTATAAGGGCTGCTCTCACTTCACACACATGGAAAATGTGGAGGACCACAGCATCTGATTTCTGTCCTATCTGTCTTTTTTCATGGCTGAAGAGGCAAGCCTAGGAGAACCGGAAGATGGTTTCATCCTATGTCCTTCCTGCCATAGCTGATCTGGCATTGAAAAGTGAGAGCACAGCAACTCAGCAGAGTGCATTTTCACATGGTAATTCCTACTGCTCCCCGCCAAAACAAAGGAGCACAGGGAGGAGTTGTGCACAATCCAGCTTTCAGCCCTTCCAGGAGGGGTAATGGTTCTGTTCAGATGTGCCTAAAGAGCAGAGGTTTCTAGTGAGCATCAGACCACACAGTGGTACTAGGTCAGCATCCACAGATGTAAATACCTTTGGCTGTACATCTCCACAGAGGGGTCTCTGAGCCTTGCAAGGAGAAAACAGTCAGCTCTGGGCTTCTCCAAGCTGGGCACAGTGACACCTGGATCCCCAGGTTTGCTTAGAACCTGACTGCATCTGCTCAGCAAATGCACACCCAGGGCACCAAATGCCCAATTCACAGGAGCCCTGGGGCAGGTGCTTTGGGTATCTACATCTCTGGCACTGGCAATCAAACTGCACTTTTCATTCACGGTCCCCATTAGGTTGAAGGGTGAGCTATGAGATGCTATTTGGCTTGCTGGCTGTGATCAGTTTGAACCAGGGGTGAAAGTTCTCACATCCCATTCCACGTCCCTTGGACTATGCAGCCCCACTTTAACCTCTCCAAGAAATTTCATTTTAAGGGTTTTTTGCAAGTTTTAACACTTGAAGGAGAGAAATAAAAAAACCACAGCTTGCCATAAAGTGGCAGAGAGCAGCGAAAAGCTGTGTGCTAAACCCACGCCTGGGCCCATGAGGTGCAGACAGGGAAGGGAAGAGGCCAATCTCAGCAAGTGAACCCTTCGGTCACAGTGGTTCTACACTGGGGAAAACCCCTCTGCTCAGAGGAGAGGAGATGTCAGCCTGGGACATGAAGCTTTGGCCTAGCTCAAGGAGAGCAAAAGGGACCCAACCTTCCCTGAAGCTACAGAGGAGAAAGGGAAGAAAGGAAAAGGAAACAGCCAGGATAAACACATCCATAAAGGAAGAGTCAGGACAAGTGAATAGTGGCACTCACACCAAAAAAAAGAAAATATGAACCCTCTTCCCCCTCCCCCACCCCCACCCCCCGAGTCTCTCTTTCTGAACCTGCCCAGCTCAAACTGCAATTGCTAGGAGAATTTCAGAGCTACCTCTCCTCCAGCAGTTGCACAGAGGTCTCCTCTCCCCCAGCAGTTGCATAGAGGTCTCCTCTCCCCCAGCCAAGTAATTTCCACATTGACACAAGAACTACACTCACTTACTTGCAAGAGAGCTGATTAATCCCCTCGATGTAGTAGCATACCCCACCATTGACACAATAGGACTTGGCTGTTTCGTTGCATTTTCTAGCATGCCCAGACCAGGAGGAGAGAGTTGTGGTTACTGCAGGGAAAAAAACACACACACACACAAAAAGGATATCGAGTCTCTCTTTCTGAACCTGCCCAGCTCAAACTGCAATTGCTAGGAGAATTTCAGAGCTACCTCTCCTCCAGCAGTTGCACAGAGGTCTCCTCTCCCCCAGCAGTTGCATAGAGGTCTCCTCTCCCCCAGCCAAGTAATTTCCACATTGACACAAGAACTACACTCACTTACTTGCAAGAGAGCTGATTAATCCCCTCGATGTAGTAGCATACCCCACCATTGACACAATAGGACTTGGCTGTTTCGTTGCATTTTCTAGCATGCCCAGACCAGGAGGAGAGAGTTGTGGTTACTGCAGGGAAAAAAACACACACACACACAAAAAGGATATATTGTTATTTCCTTTGTTGGGCAATTCTGATTTCTTAGATGATTTTCAACTAGTTTATTTGCCAAGCTAAAAACCCCAGAGCTACAAACTTCAGCCTGTGCCTTTAGACCCACCTTCACCTCTCCAGGTCCTGGGGCTGCGACTTGACCTTTCCCACCAAAAGTGGTCAAGTGAGTGAGGAGTTGAGGACATGGCTTCCTCTAAGCAGCCAGCATGTCAGGACAAGATCATCTTTTTGGCAAGCTGTAGGGAAATGTGCCCCTTTCCCACCTCTCCTTGCCCTCCCCTCATACATGCATGCAACCCTGCACCAGCAGGCAGGCGGGAGGTTTGGTAGAACATGTGCTGCAGAGTCACAAAGCCACAGTAGCAAGCTGCTGAGGCCTGATTTGCATCACGATACAGGACCAAGATCCAGAGATACAGCAGGGAACGCTTCATTGTACACATCTCCAGAAGGAAATAAGTTTTCAGGGGAAAAAGCAAGTACCCTCATTGTCCCCGGAACAGGTCCAGCACAAGCAAGAACAGCTCCATCTCTCCCTCCCCTGTTTCTGAGCATTTCTCTCTCATGCCCCAATGGGGCTGCCTCAAGAGACCAAGCAGAAGTTCAGCAGTAGGAATGAGCAAGCCCCAGGCTGTGCTAAGAGTGAAGCAGCCAGCATGACTCAAGTTCTGGGGGGTACAGATGCTTTTCCAAATCCCAATCTCTTTCTGGAAAAAAGCTTTCTAGCCATGTAAGGTATAAAACAAAACTAATGATACTCTGCAGAGTTTCACTGCAATTCCTGTCTCTGGATGACTCGGACAAACTTACAGCCCAAAACTGAGAGTCTCCGTAGGCAAGACAAAGGCTTCTAAGAAGGGGAAAAACCTTTTCTTAGAGCAATTGATACAAGTTACAAAAGCAGACCAGCTTTGGGGAATGCAGACTCATCTCACTTAAGTCAAAGAAGGGCTGGGCACTCAAAAGCATCTGCTTTTTCCAACCGAATACTTAATCTCATTAAAGATACTCCCCCTTCCTGGACTACTCACCTTGCTTATACCCCAACACACTTACATCTCCACCCATAGTAACCTACTTTCCAGCACCTTTTATGCTGTACTTGAGGTTTCTGAGGAGATGCCCTCCTCCATCCAGTTTTCTAAAGTATGAACAAACCTCATGGAGAGGTTAGAGACTTCAGAGCAGCTGCTAAAGACTAAACACCTCATTGACACAGGAATTGAGGAAGAAGGCCAGAGTCAGAGCCCCCAACAGAAGCTAGTCGGAACCATGGTAGAAGCAGCAAGGCATGCCAGAGCCTGCCCTGGAGGGAGACGGGGCTGCTCCTGGCACCTTAGGCAGCCCCCGTGCCCGCCCGCCTCCGCAGCAGGCACCTGCCCCGCTGCCCCCGGCTGCAGCCCACACCACCACAGCCAAGGGCTCCATCCCACGCTCAGGCACCAGCCCAGCACCTGCCAGGCACATCCAGGCTCCCACAGGTTAAGAAGTGTTCCCAGCGTCCTGTGAAGCCTCTCACATTTGGGTGATGCTTGGCACACGAGCAAACAAACAAGCTTGTTCTGGCTCTCTGGCTTTTAGGACTCTCTATGACTGCCTGGGGTCCGTGCTCCACTGCACAAGGAGTTTGCACGGCAGCAACTGGGGCTGTGCACCAAGCACAGCTATTTCTATGTGTTGCCTTGAATAACGATTGCCTCTGGGGTTGTCTTTGCACAGCTATCCAGGGCAGACTGAGCTGTCCCAAAGCACTCTGCAAGCCAGACATGGCAAATGCTTCAGCAAAGACTGAATCACAGAATCTTAATGGTTGAAAAGGACCTCTGAGATCACCAAGTCCAACCATACACACACCAAAGACCCCCCCCAAGACTGAAGATGCAAATTGCCCTGGGACAGCAAATAGCTGCTCCCCTCCTAGGGCATGTAACACCTGCCAGCTGGGAGCCAAACGTGCAGATCAGGATACACGTACTAGAGTGTATGCTGGAGTTTAGAGCAGACCATGATTTGACCAAGCCACCAAAGAAGTCCTTGCAAAAAACCCCTCAAGTATGAAAACTCCCTGCAGGGAGTTTGCACTTCTGTAGGGAAATTCAGTGCTCCCTTCCTGTTAAGACTGACGCAAACTAGAAGCCAAAGTCATCGTAATGGCTTTGTAACAAGTCTGTATAATTTATACCTTTACAAGATTTCTTCTTGCACATTTCTTCTAGGGCCAGTGGAGAGCTGCGGGTTTGGGCCAGAGGAGCTCTGACTGTGTGCAATAGCACCTGGACTTTCTTTGCAAGGCCTCCCCTTTAGTTATTTCTTGATCCAGCCACATAAACAAAGCCTTAAAACCAAATGGCATTTTAAAAATGAGAGAAGGGCAACGAAGCTGGTGAGGGGTCTGGAGCACAAGTCTTATGAGGAGGAGCTAAGGGAGCTTGGGGTGTTCAGCCTGGAGAAAAGGAGGCTGAGGGGAGACCTCATTGACCTCTACCCTGAAAGCAGGGTGTAGAGAGGTGGAGGTCGGTCTCTTCTCCCAAGTCACAGGTAACAGGACAAGAGGAAATGGCCTCAAGTTGCACCAGGGGAGGTTCAGGTTGGACATTAAGAAAATTTTTTACACTGAAAGGGTTATCAAGCATTGGAACGAGCTTCCCAGGGAAGTGGTTGAGGCACCTGGAGGTGCTCAAAAGATGGGGTGACATGGTGCTGGGGGACATGGTTTACTGATGGTTTTTTGTAAGAGTTAGGTTGATGGTTGGACTAGAAGATCTTGAAGGTCCCTTCCAACCTAGATGATACTATGATTCTATGAAGATAAGACCTAGCCTGGCACCACACAGCTGTGTCCTAAAACACAGGTTGTTCATGGGCTTCCCTGCGCACGTGCATGGGAAGCTGGTGGTGCAGGCTGCCGGGTGGGCAGGGGCTGCTGGCTCTGCTCTGCCACTCTCTTGGGGCTGGACGGGCCAGTCCTGAGGAGGCAGGAGCAGCAGAAGGGCAAGCAAGGGCCTGCCAGGTAAGTGTGGAAATTGCAGGGCAGCAGGTACAGAGAACACAGCTGCTGTCCCTTCCAACAGTTCCTGAGGGCTGCCAGGCCATCATGCAGCACGGGAACTCGGTTTGGAGTGCTTGCAGGCTTTTACAGTACCTCAAAACTCTGCAGTGAAGAGGTATCTGTTCAAGCTGTGAGTGTGCTGTCAGATCAGGGAGCACTGAAACTTATGAACCAAAGCACTGATGCAAACTGAAAGGCACGTGGATGAAGAGCAAGCTCAGCCTGCAGGAAGTAGTCATCCCTGCAACCATCAAATGTACAGTTGCTAGCAAGCAAACGATCCATCTGGTAAAGTCTCAGGAAAGGATTCTGGAGTGAGCCTTCCCACAGTAAGGGAGGAGCAGAGAGGGAGAAATAAAAACAGATCCCAGAAACCTCCCCTTGGAAAGCACCTCAGATAAAAGATACACTTGCCACCAGAAAAAGTAGACAGGAAGATGCAGTGCCGTGCGATGTTATGATACCAGACTGGATTACAGTGCTGACCAGCTAGAGATTGCATGGGATTTTCATCCCATATAAATAATTTTGTTACTTTTAAACAAATAAAAGAGACTGACATGAATGAGGCCTGGGATGTGCATACTGTGCCCTTCTAGAAAGCAAGCTGTGAACAGAGCTATGCCTGTCAGGGAAATATGTGGTTGAAGAGTTCTCTTAGAAGCATCTTGTTAATGTCGTTATCTTTTAAATCCTGCAAATATTGTGTCTTTTCTCCCAAAGAAGCACAAAGTGTTTTAAAAATCGCAGACACGTATTACTCTGGTCCATTTGTTGGCAGCAGAGATGTAGCAAAGGCTACAAAAAGAGGTAGTCAGCCCAGCTCCCTGCTGAGAAGAGTGTCATGAAATACAGGCCATTACAAGACTATAAGCTGAGCAGTACTGGTCAAACCAAAGCCCCGTCTGGTCTCCAACAGCAGTCAATGGGCAATTGCTTAAGGACAAAGATCAGCAAGAGGAAAGCAATGATAATTTTCTTCTGGTTGTCTAGGATGAGCAGTTCAGAGACAACCTAAGTCAGCTGAAGCATCTCTACATTTAACAGCTTTATCTTCCACGAACGTGTCTAGCTGCTGTTTGAACAAATCTAATCTTGTAGCATCTACAACATTTGTGACAAGAGCTCCAGTGTTATGCACACAGTGTGGAAAGGCACATCTCCACTTACTTCTTTAAACCTGCCCCTCCCTGACTCTTGTATTAGAAAAAATAGTGATCATCCCCACTCATCTCCCCTGTGCTACCTGTGGCTTTACAGGCACAGCCAGCATTCCTTCCCCAGCTGGAAAGCAATGATCTCTTCAGTAGCTTCTTGATCTGGCTGCAGTACCTTCTCATGCCATTTCCAGTTCTGTTTTTCCCTTTGGAGGTAGTAAGATCATTCTGCACACATGATACTTGTGCCACCCTGGTTTGCTTTCTATTCATAGTAACTCCTAATATTCATTTTGAGTTCTGATGTACTGAATACAGGTCTTTATCTATTATAACTCTGAAATATCACCCGTCCATGGTAACATGGAGTAGAGAGTCTCCCAAAGTGCCTGATTGCTCTGGGATGTTGCTGCAGCTGGGACTTCATATTTATGAGGGCAGAAGCTGCAACTAGTTTGGGAGCAAGGATAGAGAGACCTGCCAACTTAGGAAGCAGCTCTGGTGGGGGGAACAGAGGGAAGCAAAATGTCTCACTAAGAAAATGTGCCTGTATTTAAATGTGGCCCCCTTTAACACCATGTGGCTGCAGATCACGGACAAGCACCTTGAAGCATGAGGCCAAGGGAGATTTCACTGGGTTTCCACCACACTAGCGGGATAAATCCCAGATTCACAAGTGACTCCGTTCAGTTACTTCATGTTTGGCTGTATTCCCCCATCTGCCTGGGCCACTGGAAATACCTTAACA